GTATATATATTTATCCAGAGGGTACTTCTGCGGACAATCACATGTATGTAAGGGTAATTACGAGGACAAAAGTGGAAATGTGGATGTCCGTATAATTCTACCATGTTACTGATATATATTCTAGAAGCACATAAGGTCCACATAAATCACTTTTTATAAAAAAACACTAATGTTTGTGTGTGTTCATAGAAAGTGACTTACGTGAACTTTACGAGCTTTTAAAATATATATCAAAAACCACGGTAGAATTATGCGGACGTCCGCATAATCTCAATTTTGTCCTCTATAAATGTACATTCACTGCACACACACACACACACACACACACACACACACACACACACACACACACACACACACACACACACACACACACACACACACACACACACACACACACACACACACACACACACACACACACACACACACACACACACACACACACACACACACACACACACACACACACACACACACACACACACACACACACACACACACACACACACACACACACACACACACACACACACACACACACACACACACACACACACACACACACACACACACACACACACACACACACACACACACACACACACACACACACACACACACACACACACACACACACACACACACACACACACACACACACACACACACACACACACACACACACACACACACACACACACACACACACACACACACACACACACACACACACACACACACACACACACACACACACACACACACACACACACACACACACACACACACACACACACACACACACACACACACACACACACACACACACACACACACACACACACACACACACACACACACACACACACACACACACACACACACACACACACACACACACACACACACACACACACACACACACACACACACACACACACACACACACACACACACACACACACACNTCTATAGAAAAATTTATGTTTATATTTTTAGCAGTGCGATCACTACCTTTATATTTTGCATAATCTATACTGTAATAAGTATGTTCTCTTCCTTTAATAAAACAAAAAATATTATTATTTGAAATGTACGAAAATTCGTCATAAGTTGTTAGAATTACTACATATAGGCAGCTATTCACTCCATCTCTATAAATTTTGTCAGAAACATCATTAGTTTACCATCCCTGTGGAATTTTGAAAGACTTAATTGTTTTTTTCTAATATCCATAAACAAAAATGAAAGTTTTAAATCCCTACACCGCATATTACTTTTCAATTTCATAATTTTACAGTGTTTCCATAAAAATAAATACCTTATAGTTTCGCTAATTATGAAACTTTCACACTCATGCTTATTAGCTTATATTAATTAAGTTATATGCATTTCATACATTTACCAAAATTATGTAGCGAATTGAGGTGATCATTCCAAACAATTTTTTTTTGTTATTTTTTTTGGTAGAGGAAATTTTTTTCATTACTTTAATAACTAACTTATTGTTCTACATTATTTCTCAAATTATATTAGGTTTGAGTAATAGATAAAATTATCAAACGTCTAATTTTTTTGGTATTCAATTCTACAAATCTTTATTTGTCAAACATAACTTATGTTTACATTAGCTTGATTACAACATTCACATCGTAAATCAACTAAAAGATTAAGTATAGTACAATTTAAAATATTTCAGTTTATTGAATTTAAAAAAAAGTTCCATTATTATCCAATTTTAAAAGTGTTACGTCCGAACTTCTGTAAGTAAAGGGCGGAACTCGTAGATTAGTTCTACAAACAAATAAATTAAATTTTTGTTCGTCAGGAACCAGCCATCGGCCCAAAGGCCTTATTTGCTTTTACTTACAGTATACTTTTCTTTGAAATCGTTGACTCGGCGTTGTGGTGTTAGGTTTCACCGAGCGATATGTATCTAGTGGTTTACGCTGTGCTGTCGTTGACCTACTGTTAAAGTTTATGTCTTATGTTATACGGTAGTAGCGTATCTTATTCGGCAATAATTTCACAGTAATTGATGGTTAAAACTCCAAATCTCTTGGATTGTACATTAAGTCAAGTTGCTGTGGAAATTATGTATGATATTTCTTGTGTTCATCCGCAGTAAAGAATGTTGAAGTATTTGATTAATCACATTATTTAGTGTACTTGTGCGAATTGATTTTGTAAGATGAGCGTTTTATAAGATTGTTTAAGGTTGCACACGTAGCTCGAGTTTTGTGACTGTAGCTTGTTTCAAAAGAAGTAAGTTATATGTCACCCGATTGCAGAATCAGGTATACCGCTCGATGCTTTGAGATCGCTGAGCTTTTGCTTTTTATAATTTAAAAACGAAACTCTGTGTTTTGAAGTAATAAATATTAAGTATATGACATGGGATGTCACAAAAGTATTTCTACAATACACAAAAAATATGCAGTTAAATACGCTTTATTTATTTTAGAACATTGTTTATAAGAAAGACACGTCAGTAATCTAACTTAATTTTTTTAAAGATTTTTTNTCGTTAAAAATTTTTCATTTGTAATTTGTTTTTAATTATTTTTATGAGCATACCTTGGACTATAGATTCATTTTCTTGTTTTATACAATAAAACTTGTATTCACAGCAAGTGAACCGATAACTTATGTTTGGTTCATTAACTTTCCTTGATAACTCTCTTATTACAAAAATGATGTAAAAAAACATTATTTGTCAATTATTATTCAAAATCATAATTTTAAATTTGTTTAAGTAAAATTTATTTATTAATTCTTTTGAAGATAGTAGTTGTACATTATATTTCTTATTCCATTTATAGTATTTTGTATAAACCTGAAACCAGTTCTAAGATTGATGTCTAATTTCCGATTAAACTGGCGTGGTAACGCTACTATGGCCAGTTTGCAAAGTTTGCCGCGGCGGTTGTGCACAGTTTTGTTATCTTAGTTTGAACGTTTAAACTTTAAAATCATAAAAATTAATATTTTTCACGATTATGTTTAAGTCATTCTGGTCAAATACAAGGTCTTAAACATTAAGCACTTGTGTAAAATAAAAAAATTAATGAAAAACCTACAAAATCACAATAAACACAATGTGGAGTACACGATTAAAGGTCGATGTTCTAGTTCTCGGTCATCTACGATGAATATGTAGAATATATATAAAGAAAGCTGTGTTGTTTGCACCGCAGTGATAATTATTTGCACCAAGCTATTAATTTTATTATTTTGTTATAATTTAAGTGTATGTTAACATGTATTTACATATACATGATATCATGTACGTCTCAGTGACAAAAAGTCAGTGTAAAAAAAGTGATAATTCACGAATTGACAATATTCATCTCCAGTGTCTAAGACCATGAATTCATAGTTACATATGATCTCATAACCTCATCAAGTACGCTTAAGTATTCTAAAAGTTCTTTACCATCTTCTTAGGTAGATCTTTTATCTACCATATCTTTGGTACCAGCTGCTTGTGGATCTTGATTACGTTAAAAAACTTCTAATACACAGTGTACAAGTAAGTCATTTACATGTGTCTATGTATATATCTTTCTGTATGATAAAATTATTCAAGTGGAGCATTCCATAGGAATTCCCACAATTTTCCGTTGACCTACTGCCCCAACAATTAATAAGAAAAAATTCCGTCATTTTCTCCCTTGTTTCGGTTAAGCTTACTTTTTATCACGGTTAAGCTTAGTAACAATCACGGACCCTGACACCTACATATATTACTTTATTTTTGAATTTATTTATCTATTTTTTTGCCATACAATATTTCAAGAATGTACTTCCATGTAGGTAGCCAAAACTAGCCTTTACAATGATTTGTGAGGTTGTGAATGGTTTTAAGAAAAAGTATTAGCAGCTTTCAAAATCTGTTGTGGATTCTCATCTGGATACCTCAAGTTCATTGAGCTTTTTTAATTTATCTGTCAACTTGTCTGTGAAATCGTGCATCTACACTGACTGAAGCTACTACTATTATTCCCAGCGATGACCTAAATTACTTACTGTAATAGTCTACAGTACTTTAAGGGCAGGGAAGTGATAAGAACTAAAATCATAGACTAGTTTGGATGAAACAAAGTACTGAATACTTTTTCTATATACCTAACAATTCGCACATTGCCTTCTTGCTACTTGGGGAAATAGTACAGGTCTATCAATGTGAATATAATTCCGAATACTTGAGACAGTAATTGGTTACTATTTGACGTACAGTCACCTTTATTTTGCGTTTTTGCAAATACTCTGCACTTTTAGACTTTAAAAACAAGTTTAAACTACTTAAACCTATTTTTATCATTGAATGAGCTGTATAAAAAAACTCAAATATTATAAAGAACTCCTTAGTTTGATGTGAAGAATCAAAATCCTTTTTTCAACACTTCGAAAGTATATACTTAAAGATACATACATACATACACACACTAGTAGGGCTCCATTTTCCTGAGCGCTTCGCCCGCAAACCCGTAAAATTATTTGTTATTCCATGCTGTCTTAGCTGATAAAAAAAATACTTACGTAGAAAATGTATTTGTGCAGTATAAGACAGGCCTTGCTTAGAATAAAGTAGATGACTCTATTATCGAGTCTGTTTCAGTTGTTGAGGGTCTAAGCTATAATTACAGAACTATTAGTAAGAGGTTAATTTATACGCATAAACTATATTTTTTCAATAAATTAATTTGATAATGTAGGCTATGAAACCCTTGAAGTTTTAATTACTGACACTTTGATGTAATTAACAAGTAAAAAGAGAGGTTGTGTCATCAAACTATTTGGTGACAAGGTGATGTAGACGTGATGGCGTATAGAGTGGAGTGAGAGGAGCTACTACTTATCAATGTTTATGCAACTAAATAATATATGAATATACATGTTTATATATATTTTAAAAGCAGATTCTTAAACGTTTATTTAAAACTATTTAAAGCATATAAATGATCAAGTAACGATTCGTGGTACATAATTTTTAGCAATATCAAAAGATGAAGCTGATGATGCAATAAATAAAGGATCACTACCGTACAATGGGTATTCTGAAGAGTTTTTGGACTGTTTAGAACACAATGGCAATATTAGCACAAGTAAAGAAAGACGTTATGGTTTGTTCATGTCCTTTACTAGCAAATATCATGTAAAAATTTACTCACCTGAACTATTCGGAGAATATGTTATTTTCAGACTGGTCTGGTATTGGTGAACATGATCGAGTTCGTAGACAACTCTCTGTTTCAAGTGATTCCAAACTTCTTGATGAGGATATTAGAGAAGAAGCGAAAGTTATTTTACGACCACGGCGACCTCCAAGACCAAAATCAGAAGTTTTTCTTGGACCTAATCCACCACTTAGACGAACCAAAAGATTTTCAGCATTTGGTGTAAGTTTTATTGTAAATTTCTGTCTCTTTATAAAACTTTTCTAAAAATAGTGGTGCAATTATTTTACTAGTCAACAATAAAACACCCTAATAGTTTAGAGAAAACACGTCCTAAAGCTTTTTTGTCGTACATGGGCTCTTATGGAAAAGTCGTTAAAAATTTTTCATTTGTAATTTGTTTTTAATTATTTTTATGAGCATACCTTGGACTATAGATTCATTTTCTTGTTTTATACAATAAAACTTGTATTCACAGCAAGTGAACCGATAACTTATGTTTGGTTCATTAACTTTCCTTGATAACTCTCTTATTACAAAAATGATGTAATGTTCATACTTGTAAAAAAAATTGTTTCTATACATGATTAATTACGTTTTTGACTTATAACGCTATAAAAGAATTAATAAGATATTGAAATCTTACATACTTAGATGTAATCTTTATTTTGGAATCCAAATGGGAGTTTTGTCATAATTATTTGTCATGTATTTAGTGGCTTTAATGACAGCAGATGATACTAATAAAATAATTGTAGACGCAAACAATTATACTGTTAATATTAAGACTCTTACTTGCTTGGTAATTTGGAGCATGACTATTTATTAATAATTAATTTACATTAATCAATATTTTGCTGTCTTGCTGACAGCCTCTTCAGAATGAAAAATCATGTAGGTGTTAAGATAACACGCATCATGGACATCTATGGTGCCTATAATTTAGTCCACATATTGACAAACTCTACTTAGTTCCAATGAAAGTCATGTTCTTAAAAATTCAATACTATCATAAACCTGATGTTATTTTTTTTGCAACTAATAATGACAATAATTTTCTTGATCTGAAACTGATCATAGAGAGAGATAGTTCCATTTTTACCAACTGATACCGACAGCTATCTTATTCGGGCTAATATTTGAACTATCACTCTCGCCATCCCTTACGCCCAAAAATTTCAATTATTTATACGTTAGTTGATTGTAGTATTACATTGTCAGATTAAAAATATTTCTAAGAAAATCTTGATACATCAAAAAACTTCCTGTTAGCCAATAATTACTCTCCTATATTCATCAAAAATATTTAAAAAAAAAATTATTAACGACAATAAATACTTCTAAAAAAATAGCTCTAGGTCAAAAAAACAATAACACTTCTAATACACAGTGTACAAGTAAGTCATTTACATGTGTCTATGTATATATCTTTCTGTATGATAAAATTATTCAAGTGGAGCATTCCATAGGAATTCCCACAATTTTCCGTTGACCTACTGCCCCAACAATTAATAAGAAAAAATTCCGTCATTTTCTCCCTTGTTTCGGTTAAGCTTACTTTTTATCACGGTTAAGCTTAGTAACAATCACGGACCCTGACACCTACATATATTACTTTATTTTTGAATTTATTTATCTATTTTTTTGCCATACAATATTTCAAGAATGTACTTCCATGTAGGTAGCCAAAACTAGCCTTTACAATGATTTGTGAGGTTGTGAATGGTTTTAAGAAAAAGTATTAGCAGCTTTCAAAATCTGTTGTGGATTCTCATCTGGATACCTCAAGTTCATTGAGCTTTTTTAATTTATCTGTCAACTTGTCTGTGAAATCGTGCATCTACACTGACTGAAGCTACTACTATTATTCCCAGCGATGACCTAAATTACTTACTGTAATAGTCTACAGTACTTTAAGGGCAGGGAAGTGATAAGAACTAAAATCATAGACTAGTTTGGATGAAACAAAGTACTGAATACTTTTTCTATATACCTAACAATTCGCACATTGCCTTCTTGCTACTTGGGGAAATAGTACAGGTCTATCAATGTGAATATAATTCCGAATACTTGAGACAGTAATTGGTTACTATTTGACGTACAGTCACCTTTATTTTGCGTTTTTGCAAATACTCTGCACTTTTAGACTTTAAAAACAAGTTTAAACTACTTAAACCTATTTTTATCATTGAATGAGCTGTATAAAAAAACTCAAATATTATAAAGAACTCCTTAGTTTGATGTGAAGAATCAAAATCCTTTTTTCAACACTTCGAAAGTATATACTTAAAGATACATACATACATACACACACTAGTAGGGCTCCATTTTCCTGAGCGCTTCGCCCGCAAACCCGTAAAATTATTTGTTATTCCATGCTGTCTTAGCTGATAAAAAAAATACTTACGTAGAAAATGTATTTGTGCAGTATAAGACAGGCCTTGCTTAGAATAAAGTAGATGACTCTATTATCGAGTCTGTTTCAGTTGTTGAGGGTCTAAGCTATAATTACAGAACTATTAGTAAGAGGTTAATTTATACGCATAAACTATATTTTTTCAATAAATTAATTTGATAATGTAGGCTATGAAACCCTTGAAGTTTTAATTACTGACACTTTGATGTAATTAACAAGTAAAAAGAGAGGTTGTGTCATCAAACTATTTGGTGACAAGGTGATGTAGACGTGATGGCGTATAGAGTGGAGTGAGAGGAGCTACTACTTATCAATGTTTATGCAACTAAATAATATATGAATATACATGTTTATATATATTTTAAAAGCAGATTCTTAAACGTTTATTTAAAACTATTTAAAGCATATAAATGATCAAGTAACGATTCGTGGTACATAATTTTTAGCAATATCAAAAGATGAAGCTGATGATGCAATAAATAAAGGATCACTACCGTACAATGGGTATTCTGAAGAGTTTTTGGACTGTTTAGAACACAATGGCAATATTAGCACAAGTAAAGAAAGACGTTATGGTTTGTTCATGTCCTTTACTAGCAAATATCATGTAAAAATTTACTCACCTGAACTATTCGGAGAATATGTTATTTTCAGACTGGTCTGGTATTGGTGAACATGATCGAGTTCGTAGACAACTCTCTGTTTCAAGTGATTCCAAACTTCTTGATGAGGATATTAGAGAAGAAGCGAAAGTTATTTTACGACCACGGCGACCTCCAAGACCAAAATCAGAAGTTTTTCTTGGACCTAATCCACCACTTAGACGAACCAAAAGATTTTCAGCATTTGGTGTAAGTTTTATTGTAAATTTCTGTCTCTTTATAAAACTTTTCTAAAAATAGTGGTGCAATTATTTTACTAGTCAACAATAAAACACCCTAATAGTTTAGAGAAAACACGTCCTAAAGCTTTTTTGTCGTACATGGGCTCTTATGGAAAAGTCGTTAAAAATTTTTCATTTGTAATTTGTTTTTAATTATTTTTATGAGCATACCTTGGACTATAGATTCATTTTCTTGTTTTATACAATAAAACTTGTATTCACAGCAAGTGAACCGATAACTTATGTTTGGTTCATTAACTTTCCTTGATAACTCTCTTATTACAAAAATGATGTAATGTTCATACTTGTAAAAAAAATTGTTTCTATACATGATTAATTACGTTTTTGACTTATAACGCTATAAAAGAATTAATAAGATATTGAAATCTTACATACTTAGATGTAATCTTTATTTTGGAATCCAAATGGGAGTTTTGTCATAATTATTTGTCATGTATTTAGTGGCTTTAATGACAGCAGATGATACTAATAAAATAATTGTAGACGCAAACAATTATACTGTTAATATTAAGACTCTTACTTGCTTGGTAATTTGGAGCATGACTATTTATTAATAATTAATTTACATTAATCAATATTTTGCTGTCTTGCTGACAGCCTCTTCAGAATGAAAAATCATGTAGGTGTTAAGATAACACGCATCATGGACATCTATGGTGCCTATAATTTAGTCCACATATTGACAAACTCTACTTAGTTCCAATGAAAGTCATGTTCTTAAAAATTCAATACTATCATAAACCTGATGTTATTTTTTTTGCAACTAATAATGACAATAATTTTCTTGATCTGAAACTGATCATAGAGAGAGATAGTTCCATTTTTACCAACTGATACCGACAGCTATCTTATTCGGGCTAATATTTGAACTATCACTCTCGCCATCCCTTACGCCCAAAAATTTCAATTATTTATACGTTAGTTGATTGTAGTATTACATTGTCAGATTAAAAATATTTCTAAGAAAATCTTGATACATCAAAAAACTTCCTGTTAGCCAATAATTACTCTCCTATATTCATCAAAAATATTTAAAAAAAAAATTATTAACGACAATAAATACTTCTAAAAAAATAGCTCTAGGTCAAAAAAACAATAACACCAAACTAAAAGTATAGTTCTTTTTTAAAGATCTTGTTCTGGTTATAAAAAATATTCTTTATAAGAACAAAATAATTGTTAATAAATTAGAAAAATAGCTATTAAATGACAATAACGAAAATAATATAGTTAAAATAACGTCCAATGGTGGTACTGTCAAATTTTGTATTTATTAAAAAACAAAACGACGTTCCAGCCGATTGGGCAATGTCCCGGCCCTTATCAGGTACAAAAATCCATGAGTAATAAAATTTCTTTACAATACAAATTTTGATAAATACAATAAACGTAAATTGAGTAAAGTGTATAATATACCTCTGACTCTTACGAAGAGAATGTAAAATCGTAATGTAGTCAGATTTTCGAGTTTTGTTGCTTTTATACCTTGCACATATTCAAATAACACAATATACGCACACAATATAATCAAATAAGAGTCGCAAGCAGTTCCTTGTGAGACATACGTGAACAGATCATGTTTTCCTAATACCATAAATGAAAGGGGTCCTCAAATACTGTACATCGAGTTAGCCTCCTTTCTTAATTGACTTAACGAGAGATTTGTAACAATTTTTCAATTTTTCTGAATCTTGTTGTCTATTAATTTTATTATTGAAATAATGTATATTTAACATTCCGGAAATCAGGCGCTTTTTATAATTTTGTTCCGCGTCAAAAATTTTTTTTTATCAAAATTGAAGTTGTGTGTAAATTCAATGCTATGTTGTGATGGTACAGATGTATCCTTTTTTTCTCTATGTCTTTTTTATGTTCTGCCACTCTTAATTTTAAAGCTCTCGA